AGAATTCCTGAGAAAATTCTGTGTTTTTGTTTTGAAAAACAACCTCTTCCTTATAATAGGATCAACCGTCGTATAAAACCGCAAAAACGGCAAGAAGCGCGGGCGCGTTCGAAGAGGCGCGGGCGCGCCACCACAGAAGCGCGGGCGCTCCACCATGGGGCGCGGGCGCGCCACCAGCTTGCGCGGGCGCGCCACCAGCTTGCGCGGGCGCGCCTTCTTCTTTGCCTATAATAAATGAAATTCCAGGAAGTTAGCGCGATTTTAGCGCGGTTAGGCGCGGGTCGCGCCATGCCATGGCGCGGGCGCGCCAACCGGAGGCGCGGGCGCGCCTCCAAACTTTTCCAGAATTTCCAGAAACTCATCGCGGTTTATGCGCGGTTTTGACGCGGGTCGCGCCTAACTGGCGCGAGCGCGTTTCAGAAGCGCGAGCGCTCCTCCGACACTCTAAATTATCAACAAAGTCAACGCACATTCTCCAGCTACCATTTGCCTTCTGAACCATCACAACATTGGCCAGCCATTCTGGGTACTGACAAGGCTCGATGAACCTAGCATCCAGGAGCTTTTTGACCTCGGCCGCAATGTTTTGGTTCTTTTCGGCGAAGTAGTTCCGCTTTTTCTGCTTAATGGGTCGACTTGTGGGGTCGACATTAAGCTTATGGGAGATTAGGTTCGGATCAATCCCGGGCATTTCTTCGGCCGAGAAAGTGAACACATCTCTGCTGGTTTGAAGGAGTTGGATTAGTGCAGCTCGGGTTTCTGGCTCGAGGCCTAGCCCAATGCTAACACATCTTTCAGAATCTCCTTCGGCAAGCTCTATTGATTCAGTCGGATTATCCGTCTCCAAGTTTTTGGAGTCGGACTCTTCATATTCCGGCCTGCTGTCAATATCAGCAGGCTTTTCTGATCGTGGCTGATCATCAAAGTCTTTAGGCTCTGACATGGAATCGGCCTTTTGACCCCCTTTAGATTTTTCTTGGGAGGGGGTCTCACTTGTCGAAGCGCCCAAACTTTTCATCTTTTTGGCACTTCGATCTCGATGCATTTCATCTTCATCATCTTGGCCGCCTCGGCGCGCCCTAGATGGCTTGAGATGATTACATCGGCGGGCTTCCCTCTGACTGCCCTTTATTTTTTCAGAGCGGCCCTCGTCCGATACGTATATCATGACTTGGTGGTACGTAGAGACGACTCCTTGAATCCCGTGAATGAGGGGTCTCCCCATAACCACGTTGTACGCAGGCGGTGCATCAACGACCAAGAACTCGGCCATGATGCTCCTCGCTGCTTGGCCTGAGCCGATGGTGACGGGAAGTGTAATCTTCCCATCAGGGTATAATGAAGAGCCGTTGAATCCAGACACCGGGTAAGGTGCTGGGCTCAGGTGACTGGCCTCCATCTTCAGTTGATCAAATGCTCCTCGGAAGAGGATATTCGCTCCGCTGCCGCCGTCGACGAGAGTTCGCCAGACGCTGCGGTTGGCGATGCCCAAAATGATTACAAGAAGGTATTCGTGAGGGTATACCACCCCTTCGCAGTCCTGGGCTGTGAACAAAATGTTCGGCACCGGCGACTGAGGTCGCCGAAGTTCAGCATGATAGACGTGATGGGTTAAACCCCTCATGTGGCGTTTGGCTGCACTTCGGGAGGTTCCCCCGGAAATGACTAGGATTTCAAGGGTGTCCTTGTCTTGGGACCCTTTATCCTTTTTCCGGGAGAAATTGAGGTCCTGCCGAGAATCTTTCTCGGCTCTTTTTTCTTCGCGTCTGTCCGCGAGATATTTTTTTAGGTACCCCTTCCGGACCAGCTCCTCAATCTGATCCTTTAGCTGGACACAGTCTTCGGTGCGATGTCCAGGAGAATCGTGGAACTCGCACCACTGGTCCTTGCCCCTCTGCTGGTTCCAGGGCGGCAGCTGACGAGGCTTTTTGAACCTCCCCTCATCCTTGGTCGTGCTGTAAATTTTTGCACGTGGAAGGATGAGAGGAGTGTAAGATTCATACCTTTCCGAGTAGGGAACGTACTTCTCCTTCTTCGGCTCAGGAGCAAAGGACGGTTCTGAGGCCTTGGCCTTCCCTTTCCTTTGCGCCGAATTGTCGGGCTGCTGCCCTCTCGACTTCCCAGCCCCTGATTGAGACTGAGACTTCGATTTGTTCCACTCTTCAGCCCGGATGAATTTATCCGAAGCTTCCAAGGCTTCCTCCAAGGTCTGCGGGGTATGCATGACCATGAAGTCCAGGAACTTGCCAGCTTGAAGGCCGTTCCGTAGTGCAAATACGGCCAGGCCTTGATCCAGACTTGTAATTCTGGACGACTCATTGCTGAAACGAGTAAGGTGTTCACGGAGGCTTTCGTCCTCCGCCTGCTGCAGGCTCATCAGCTCTGTAGTCGTTTTCTCTCGGCGGTTTTCCGTAGAAAACTTGCTCTTGAACTTGTTGGAAAGATCATCCCAACCAGTTATAGAGCCATCCTTGAGCCCTTTAGTGATCCACGATTGTGCAACACCCTTGAGGGTCGTAGGGAAATACTTACACCAGGTAGCCTTGGACCTAGGGTTGAGATACATGTGCCCCTCGTAAGAGGCAATGTGATCCTTTCGGTCAGAGGTACCATCGTAAGTTATGTGCGCGGGTATTTTCACCGTCGGCACATGCTCCTCCACAATCCACCTTTGGAAGGGTGAACTAGTAGGAACCATCACGGCTTTCCCCTTTTGCCTAGGCGAAGGGACCTCGCTTCTCCCTCTCAAAGAGGTGGAAGTGGTTTTCGTCCTTGGCCGAGACATTCCGGGGCGTGAGCCGCTTTTTGCAGGGAAGGTGAGGCGGTTGTGCACGCTCGCCTCCTTCGGGCCTAGGCGTTCAAGAACGCTTCGGCGAGCAGTTTCCTCCTGCATGGAGGTTGTATTACTGCTTTTGAAGCTCATGGAACGCTGAGCTCCGGATTGGACGAAGAATTGTGGGTTCCTCTTCCTCTCCTTACTCGTATTCCACGTTGGCTCCTGCCACTCCCTCCCGACTTCTCGGTGAGATGGATCTTGTCCATCTTGGTCTTGACCGATTCTCCTTTTCAGGAGCCTCGGCTGACAAGAAGGGTGCGCAGAGGGAGTGGTTTGGATGGGTTCCCCTTGTGCTTCGAGGAACCGGATACAGATTCTCACGGCCTGGGCTACTTCCTCGGTTGAGGGCCCTGAAGGAGGAGTTTCCTTCGGCTGAGACCGTGAGCGCCAGCTTTCATGCTGGCGGGATGGGATTCTCGCCTCCGAACCTTCCTGGCAGACCGGGCTTGCTGGCGGCTCAGAATGGTGGGGAGGGGATCCTCAGGAGGTTTCCCTTGCCGGGGAGCGTGAGGCTCCACCGGCCTCCCTTTCAGGAGTTGAGGAGGCCTCTGAGGAAGAGACTGCGGCTTCAGGTGAGGAGAGAGCGGGTTGATGCCCCCTCACCGTGATCAAGTCCCTCCTTCTCTCGGAGGGAGTAGGAATGGGACCGACTCTCTTCTTGGCACCCTTGGTGCCCTTGCCACTCTTAGTCATTATGATTGCCAAAGTGGTCGATGATTGACGCGAATTTTTGTGAAGTTCCCCACAGACGGCGCCAAATTGTTTCGGATGAAAACAATAGAACCTTGGAAGGCCCTTTTATCTCGGGAGAACTTGATCTCGGTCCAGTAAGCGATGGAGCCGAGGATTTCCTGCACAACGAACACACGTAAACTAGCCTCGGGGGTGTAGCTGAGGAAGGCCCCTCCGATGCTAAAGTCAGTATGTGTGAAGAGAAGAAGCTGTGCCAGATATTTAGTGCTTGAGGCTTGTTGTGTATATCAGAGAATAGACCAAGTTAATGGCTTTTATACGTTTGCTTAATTGGATGTTGACTGGGCTATGAAGTCAATTGGACTTGCCAAGTTGACTGGGCCTTGACTGACTTTAGCATGCTTTGGATGGGAGTAGACCTTTGCATTGGGCTTGTGATTGAGTTATTTGGACTTGGCCCAATTAAGTTGGTGAAATTGGACCCAAACAAAAGTGTTATTATGTTGTCACCAACCATGCACGATAGCCAGAATCACTTAACTGTATTCGTTAATTGACCACAAACGAGATGTAGTATATACCGAATATCTAAGAATACATAGGCATATAGCCTATGTCAAACAAGAATCTATAATAATATGAATATAAAATAAATAAAGTAGAGGTGCAAATAAGATGATTCTTACTATTTTGAAAAATGTCTTCAAGTGATGTAATGCAAGATGCAACCATTGTAAAGTCTTTCTAATAATTAAGAAAAATAATTCATTGGTTGTTGCGTGCAATCTAGATTTAAGATGAAGGATGAGAGTAACTGAAGGGAAAGGAAAATGTAAGGAGGTGTATTGGAAATAAAGGGTGTATTAGGAAATAAGATAACTGAATTGACATATTTTAATGACTTTTATACCCTTACTTTGAAATATTATTACATCATCACCCATAGTTACCTTCAAACCACAAATTCATACCACCACACCACAACACCTACACTGCCGCCACCATTAATACTCCGGCCGCCGGCACCACCACCACCACCACACCTCGCCACATTTTTCGACTATATTAAAAAAACAAATCTTATACAAAAAATAATTCCCTAATTTTATACAATATAATTAGTTCAAATAAAAAAGATTTGACATATTTTTAACACAAACATTTATATAGTTTTATAGAAAAAAAGTTCTTTTGATAAATTTCTACATCATTTTATGTATGACAATTCTCTATTCTGATCAAAATTTGTCAATTATATTATTAAATTTTTTTTTTTATAAGAAACTAATTATAATGACAACTTAATAGTGGTTATTGAAAATTTCCGTGGATGGCTAGTGACCAACCTACATGAAAACCCTTAAATCTAGTGTAACTACTAGCGATTAGTTATTTGCAAACCGTAGGGAGTAGTAAAACCCTGTTTTAATTAAGTTCCAATTTCTCCCTAATATTTTTTTGTTCTTATACAATGGCGGACGAATTGCCGGAAATATCAATGAATTTGTGGACGGAGATCTTAGCAAGGCTGCCCGCGAAAAGCCTAATGAGATTGAGGTGTGTTCGTAAAAGCTGGTGTTCTTTAATTGATTCTTCTGATTTCATTCTTTTGCATCATCAAATTTACGACAACATAGCATTCATAGTATCGATACATTCAGTAAAACTCCTGATTGTTGCGCTGTTATAGGGAGCTGTAATGGATTGATTTTGATGTATTCCTTAACGTATAATAACATTATGATGATACTTTATGATCCTTGTATTCGAAAGTCCCTTGTGATTCCACCTTAGCTTGTCCTTTTATTTCGATAGGATATAGAATAGGTTGGCTAGGTTTTGCTCCGTCTAGTATGGATTATAAGTTGCTTGCTTACAGGTTTCTTAATCATAAGTATCCCAGAGTTTTCAATCGCGGTTTATTCATTAAATGTTTGCCTTTGGAGGATCAAATATAGGTCGTATGCTCACATTCGAGGCCTTAGTTTTAAAGACGGGGATAAATTTAATAGTAAAGATGGTGTGTACTAGTGTGGACTTGATCAGGACATACCTCGTGCGGCTCGTGGCCTACACACTCAGCTTGTATAGTTCGATTTTGATTTTGAGAAATTTAACTTTGTGGATTTGCCTGATGCTCTTAAGTGTTGGAAGTATTTGGTTTTTGTTATAAAATAAAGAGAAGAAAAGGGGAGAAGAAAAGGAGGGGAGTGAAAATCCCACATTGGTGGGGGGAAGAGAGTTTTCCTCATTTATATATTATAGTATGTTAATACTACTTAGTTGAGTGGCTTGGAGGTGGGTGTTGTTTCACACACACGCGCGCGCGCGCGCCGAGCAGGACCGGGACGGGTCGGGTCCGGGCTTCGGGTCTTGGGGCTTGTTGACTAGGTTCATTTGCCAGTTTAACTTCCCCTAATTAAGCTGACCGTTGCTTAAGTTTAGGCATACCTCCTATTCTCCTTCACTGGTTGCCTATTTTCAGTTTCGGTTCACGCATCAAGAGCTAAGTTATTTCTGTTTTTTGCAATTAGTATAACAATCTAAAAGACGATTATGGCTTCCAAATTTTTGATTCCTGAAATCTAGGTTAGAACCTTTATATGGCAAAAATTATAAACGTTGGGCTGTTAGGATGCGTTTTTATTTGGAACAAATTGATGTTGCATATGTTCTTGATGATATTATTGAACCCATTGATAAAGATGATTTGTCTGAATCTGATATTAAGTTTGCTAAGGATGATAGAACTTGTAAGGGAATGTTGTTGCATCATATGTCGAATACTCTTTTGGATATTTACATGGGATTTTTTCATGCTAAAGATATTTGGGATGCCTTAGAGAAAAAATATGGGACTGATGATGCTGGTTCTAAGCGTTACTGTGTTGGTAGGTGGTTAAGCTTTCAAATCGTTGATAATAAACCTATCATTGACCAAATTCATGCTTATGAAAATGTTTGTATTTCTATGGCTGCCGAAGGACTTTCTATTTGTGATAATACCTTAGCCATTGTTCTGATTGAAAAGCTCCCTCCCTCTTGAAAAAAATTCCGTAACCAATTAATGCACAAAAAGAAAGACCTAACCTTAGAGGAACTTGTAGGTCACCTCAAAATTGAGGAGGAAAACCGTATTAAGGACAAAGGTCATCCTTTTTTCCCTTCCTCCTCTTCTGCCAAAGCCAACCTTGTTGAACCCAAACAAAATAACCGGTTCAAACCCAAAAACAATTATCTTAAGCCTAAGGGGAAGATTGAGAAAAAAAAGTTTAAAGGTACTTGTTTTGAGTGTGGGCTTTCTGGTCACAAGGCAAAGGATTGCAGGGTCAAAAAGAAAAACAATGGACAAAGTTAAGTGAATCTTGTTGAGGATTCTAACGTTATTATTGCTGTTGTTTTAGAGGCTAACCTTACAGGTAACTCTGCTGAGTGGATTGTTGATACTGGAGCAACCAGACACATTTGCGCCAACAAAGACATGTTCACCACCTATGACAAGGTTGAAGGTGAAAATGTCTTCATGGCCAACTCGGCTTCTGCCTCTATCCAAGGCAAAGGGAAGATCGTTCTCACCCTTACTTCTGGAAAAGTGCTTACTCTCACTAATGTTTTGCATGTTCTAGAAATGCATAGGAATTTAATTTCTGGCAGTTTACTAATGAAGGCTGGACTTAAGCTTTCTTTTGATTCTGATAGATTAGTTCTTACTCGCAATAGCGAATTTGTAGGGAAGGGTTTTTGTAATGGGGGGCTTTTTACTCTTGATGTCAAAATCAACACTATGAATAATAAGATTGTTAGTACTTCTTCTGCTTATATCGCTGAGTCTATTGATTTATGACATTCTAGATTAGGTCATGTCAACATTGATTCGATTAAAAGACTTAAACACTTAAATTTGATTCCACGTTTTTCTAACTCTGATTTTTCAAAATGTCAAATTTGTGTTGAAGCCAAATTTACAAAGAAGCCATTCAAATCAGTAGATAGACAAACAGAAGTACTAGAACTTGTTCATAGTGATTTAGGTGATTTTAATAATCACGAGAGTAGAGGGGGTAAAAAGTATTACATTACTTTTGTTGATGATTGTTCACGTTTTTGTATGATTTATCTTCTCAGGTCTAAGGACGAAGCTGAGGAAATGTTCCTCAAATATAAAGCTGAGGTAGAAAATCAATTGAAAAAGAAGATTAAAAGAGTTAGGAGTGACAGGGGTAGTGAGTACATCCCTGACACTCTTAAGGCGTTTTGTGAACAACTTGGCATTGTTCATGAGACGACAGCTCCTTATTCACCTAAACATAACGGTATAGCTGAAAGTAAAAATAGAACTTTAAAAAATTTGATGAACTCTGTGCTTATTAGTTCTGGGCTTCCTAATAACATGTGGGGGGAGGCTATTCTTTCTGCTTGTCATGTTTTGAACAGGGTTCCTCATAAAAAGCTCGACAAAACTCCATACGAGATATGGAAAGGTCGAGTGCCAAATCAGAAATACTTGAAAGTGTGGGGGTGCCTAGCAAAGGTAGGCATACCTAGCTTCAAGAGGGACAAGATTGGTCCTTAAACAGTTGATTCTGTTTTTATTGGCTATGCTTATCAAAGTGCAGCTTATCGTTTCCTTGTTAAAGGAGCTAACTTCCCCTAATTAAGCTGACAGTTGCTTAAGTTTAGGCCTTCAGTTCTTGGCAGTTACTTCCTCTTTTCTTGCTGGCTGTTACCTCCTCTTCTCCTTCACTGGTTGCCTATAAATAAGGGCCTCGTGTTTCTTCAAAAACACAGAAAAATATAATCTCCTACTCTCGTCTCTAAAACAGCAAACACATTTCTAACTTCCTGTTTTCTGGGCAAAGTTTTGAGTTTCAGTCGGGTTTTGTGAGTGCACACAAACTCCGGCGCCGTGCTTATCCTGGAGGACGACCGCTTCATGTCTACTGCACCGGGAGGTAGCGCGGAATCGTCTTTTAGGTTAGTGGTTTGCCACGACGCGGCTATTTTCAGTTTCGGTTCACGCATCAAGAGCTAAGTTATTTTTGCAATTAGTATAACATTAAGCAAACAGGTCTTGTCAAAATTAATTTTGTCCTCGGTGAGTCTGTAACAATTTTCTGTTTGTCTCCAGATTATACCTCCATATGGTTTTGGTCGAGGATGGTGGAAATAGATCATGGCGACTTTGGTATGACGGAGATTCAAATTCAAAAGCTTTTCGGTTTCTTACAATAAGTATTCGTACGGAGATTTTCAATGTTGAGAAGAATACATATTTCGTATTTAATAATGATAGACTGTATTCTTATAATTATAAAAGTCACCACCTACAACATGTGGAAAATTATAAGGGAATTTTGACTTTTACCACCTTCAAATAACCACTTAATTGAATTTACCACCTCTAAAAAAAAAAGATTTACTTTACCACCACCAAAATTTCCAAAAATTCGATTTTACCACCAACTAACGGATTCCGTCCATGAATCCGTTAGTAGGGCCCACCTTTTTGACGGTTCTTCTTCATCTTCCCCGATTTCCATATCAACCCAGCCAGCAACGAAATTAACACACCATGGTTGGTCGGAATTTCGTGTGGGGGCAAGGGAGGGGTCGGAATTTGGTGTAACCTAGGGAGGTGATCGGAATTAGGTGGTGGTTAGGGTTTTAGGAGTGCGGAATTTGGTGGTGGCTAGGGTTTTAAGAGTTGTCGGAATTAGGGGGGCTATATGGGTGGTCGGAATTTGGTGGCTAGGGTTTTGAGGTCGGAAATTGGTAAAAGGGGGTCGAAATCCGGTGTGGGAGCTGTGGCTGGGTGCGGTGCGATGCGGTGTTAGCGGTTAGGTGGTGGGGTCGTTGGTCGTAGTGATTAGGTGGTGGCTAGGGTTATGAGGTCGGAAATTGGTGGAAAGGGGGTCGAAATCGGTGTGGTGGTTGTGCGGTGCGGTGCGGTGGTTGTGGCTGTGCGTTGCGGTGGTAGTTATTAGGTGGTGGGGTCGTTGGTCGTAACGGTTAGGTGGTGGGGGCTGGTAGCGGTTAGGTGGGGGGGCTGGTCGTAGCGGTCAGGTGGTGGGGCTGGTCGTAGTCGGTCCGGTGGTGGGGTCTCGACGGTGGCAGCAACCACCGGTTGATGGATGGGGTTTTTTAATTTTTTTTTTGTTTTTTTTTAATTTTTTTCTAAAGCTTACCCAATAATATGGCGACACGTGTGCAAGGTAGGCCCCACTAACGGATTTATGGACGGAATCCATTAGTTGGAGGTGATTGGTGGTAAAACTGATGTTTAATTTTTTTATGAGGTGGTAAAGTAAATCTTTTTTTTTTGGAGGTGGTAAATTCAATTAAGTGGTTATTTGAAGGTGGTAAAAGTCAAAATTCCCAAATTATAATGATGGTCGTAAATATTTTGTGACTATTAAGAAGAGATTAGTACTGCACAAACGAAACCAAGGGTTTTTACAAGACGGCTGAATGTAGGAGAATATCGTAAACTGTGAAGAAATTGTTAGCTTGACATGCGCTAACTTGAACTGCTTGAATGTAAACGTATTGAGAAGTGTTATTTGTTGCTTGTTTTTCGTCTTTACTTTACGTTTAGGGTAAAAATACCCTGTCCACATGACCCAATGGCATGCTGACATGTGTCAGCCTTAGAGAGGCCCAGGGGGATCCAATCCTCTGCTGACACGTGACACCTTAACCCTAAAAGGGGAACTGATCTCCTTCCACTATAAATAGAGGAAAATCCTCATTTATTACACATTTATAAATACAAACACAAAAAATCGAGCAATATTAATTGAAGAATTCTCTCTGAATTAGAGAGAAAAGCCTTTATATTCCGTACTTTTATACATACGGAAACGTTCTAACTTGATTGTCGGAGGCGGAACTCCACCCAACCGGAGTTTCCATGGTTTTGTAGGTACAGACGGTCGATGCGCATCCTTGGAATTGTAACTCTCCCGAGGGACTCCAAAAACCCCGAAATATTTGGCGCCGTCTGTGGGGAGAGTAATTCTTAGACGGCATCCGAATCTGTACCGCTTGTTGCGGGCAAACAGCCTATGGCCGAGCCCGAGGTCCATACGGATCAAGATGGTGGTGACGACTTTGAGGTCGACACCTACGTGGCCCCAGACGGGTCATTCATAACAAGACGCACCCGTTTCAAAGAAACAAGGGAACGGGTCCAAGATAAAGTTGGTCCTAGCAGCCTAACCGTCAAGCCGGCTGGGAGACCCCAGGCGGCGAAAGGGGCTGCCCCCGTAGCTAGAGACGAACTCATGAAATTCATGACGAGTTTCAAAGGGGAGATTAATTTAAGGACCTGATAAGCAAGCTAGCTAGCATCAACAAGGGTCAGCCGGCCAAGAAGCCTTCTCCCTCCGGGAAGAAGCATATCAAAGATCGTATACCCACTCCTCACCCTAAATCAAAGGGGGTGGACGGGCCCCTGATCTACCTATCCAAACTTCGTTTCCCTGAATTAGGGCAAAGGAAGGCCATCCGACAAGTTCAGTTGGATGAGTCAAAAAGACTTACTCAGACGCCCGGATGTTCATCCAGGAGAAGAGGAGTAAAAAAATGTCTGAGTTGGCCTCAACGTCGACGTACCCAGACTGTTTCCAGAGTACTTCAATAAAGCATTCGGAAACAAACCGAGAGAGTCAGTTACGCGACATGTCTACACGTACTGGCCGTCAGATTATCCAGCCGGCTCCGTATGTGCCCCAACAGCCATACATGCCGTATGGATCCCCTTACATGCAGTTGACCTTCTTTAGGGTCCGGCGGCATAACAAGTCCAGCCCATGGACTAGCAGCTCCGGCTGCTAAACCTTAAGGAACAGCCGTCAGCGTTCTCCAGGGAGATAACCGAGGCGGCTCAGCCGACCAAGGTTAAGAACGTGTTTGTTGGTATCTATGATGGTACCACCAACCCAGAAGACCACCTAATGGCTTACACCAACCTCATGTACTTACAGGGGTTGGATGATGTCGCCTGGTGCCGATGCTTTTCGGTAACATTCAAGGGCATAGCCCAAC